GTCAAAGGATCCTGCCTCATATATATATATATATATATATATATATATATATATATATATATATATATATATATAAGGGTTCTTTTGACTCCATCTCAAGCCGTTGATGGACGGAAATCAGCCGTTGTCATTTATAGTGTAATTAATAATTAATTAATTAATATAACTTCCTAAACTATAACCGTTGGATGGACGGAAATCAACGGCTAAGATAGGGAGTAAGATTTATAAGTCTTACTCTGGAGTCAAATGATCTCTCTCCGCATATATATATATATATATATATATATATATATATATATATATATATATATATAGAGAGAGGTATTCATACTACCATTTTTTTACTACCAATATAATCATCGTTAGATCAAATTTTTCAGCAAAAAGTGGGTTGAAAAGAGAGTAAAAAGATTAAGAAGTTTGATCCAATGATGATTAGCGTGGTAATGAATTGGTAGTAAAAAAATGGTAGTATGAATATCCTACCTCATATATATATTATATGACCAAATGGTGGTAGCTCAGTTGGCGCATAGGAGCTAAGCAGGTGGGGATGAGAGCATAAGTTCGAATCTCCCCAGTACCACATTTGGGAGGGGTTTAAAGCCTTAATCCTGGACCCGCCCCGAATCGGATTAGTTGCGAAGCAATGAACCGATTGGAATATTTCCAAAAAAAAAAAATATATTATATGAAGATAGATCTTTTGACTCTGGTGTAAGACTTAACAGTCTTACTCCCCATCTTATCCGTTGATTTTCATCCATCTAACAATTATAGTTTATTGAGTTATATTAATCAATTAATTATTAGTTTAAAATAAATGACAACCGCTAAATGGAAGAAAATCAAACAGTTAAGATGGGGAGTAAGATTTTTAAGTTTTACACCTGAGTCAAAAGATTCCTCCCCTGTATATAACATGATCATTTGACACCAAATTGTAATAGTTGATTTTCATCAATCCAAAGGTTAAGATTTATTATGAATTATTAATTAATCAATAAATGTGAAAAAATTAATTATAACCGTTAGATTTACTGAAATCAATGATTAAGATTTAATGTATAGTTCGACACCAATATCAAAGGATCATATCCCATATATATATATATATGGGTTTTATAAGAGTTATGTTGTAAGAAAAGTGATTGTGTAATGTTATAGAGATTCGTTTTGCGTGCCGTAATTTTTTTTCTTTAAAAAGTGTGGGCCCCACAAAATGTTGTGTGTATAGGAAAATTTATTGTGTCATGTTAAATGACAAATGCAAATCCCTATATATATATATATATATATATATATATATATATATATATATATATATATATAGAATTCTATAAGAGTTATGTTGTAGGAAAAGTGATTGTGTAATGTTATAGAGATTCGTTTTGCGTGCCTTAATTTTTATTTTTATTTTTTGCTTTAAAAAGTGCGAACCCCACAAAATATTGTGTGGGTAGAAAAAAATTTTGTATCATGCGACATGATATATGTAAATCCCATATATATATATATATATATATATATATATATATATATATATATATATACCAGTAATGTGATGAGAAAATGAGATTACCGGTAATATAACCAAAAAGTTATTTGATATGCCAAAATTTTACTTGGAATATTGCGTGAAATTTATGAGTCTATGTTTGGTTGATTATAAAATATTACTAGAAATTAAGTGTGATATTACATATATGCCCCTGCTTTAGTTTATTTTTCAATCAGATAGGGATTACACAAGGTTACTTTTGTCACTTTTTTTGCTATCCCTTTTTCTATTTCCCCATCAATCGAACAATACCACCCTCATAAATTTTTTTCACAAATTACACACAAAACTAATCATCAGACATCTAACTTTCCTACATAAATTTTTACAAAATGATACCAAGTGTGTATATATATTATTACTATTTTATTTATTTATTTATTTATATTTATATTTATAATTTTATCTTTTTTCAACCCTTTCATATATTTTATTTGAGTTCATCTACCACCGATCCCAGTTAATAAGGGATAAGGTGTTGTTGATGTTGATACCAAATATGATATTCCTGAAAATCCATTCTCATTTTCTTAGGTATCCAAAAAAAAATCTCTTACCAAACATTTTCTTAGAGAAAAGTAGTTTGAATGGTCTAGGAACACCTACGTTAGGAAAATAAATTTTATGGTCCTTTTTTTTTTTTCTCCTCCCTATCTCGACGGCTCATGTGAGTCGGGTGCATTACATATCTGGTCGGACCTTAGGTGGTTCTTTTTGGAACAGTGACCATTGTGCCACTGTTCCCACTGTTATTTACCTAAATGCCATGCACCTGAACTTTTTTCCCAAACTGCCACGCGGGCTAGTTCGCTGGGAGTAGTAGCGACCTCGTAATGCTGAGCTGTCAGCTTCCTGGTGGTGTCAGAGTTCGCGACTGACGCAGGCGACCTGTGTTGCAATTAATGCCTGACCAGCCAGGCCACGTGGCATGCATGCAAGCGAGGTCGCGACTGACGCAGGCGACCTCTGTTGCAATTAATGCCTGACCAGCCAGGCCACGTGGCGTGCATGAAAGCGAGGTCGCTGCCCACGCAGGCGACCTGTGCCCAACGGATACTTTTTCACCCTATATAAACCCCCCTTCCCTTCCCATCCGCCTTCCCCCTCCCCATTTTCTCTCTCTCTCTCTTAATTTTCTTGCTCTCACATTTGGTCTTTTGTCTTCATTTGAGGTTAGTGATGTATAATTTGATTAATTTTTATTCTTTTTTATTGTTAGTTAGTTGTTGTTTAATATATTATATGTAACATAAAATATTAGGTTATATGACATTTTAATTGTTTTATTATTTTAATTAGTTTAATATTAGTAGTTTAGTAATTACATTTTAATGTTAGTAGTTAAATAACATATTTTTTAATTAATGTATGTAATAAATAGTTTTATATGCGTTATTTATTTATAGGTTTTAGGGTAAGATAATTTTTATGATTAATGTTATGACACATTATGTTAGATGACATATTATTTATTTTATTATTTGAATTATTCTAATATTAATAGTTTAGTAATTGCATGTTAATTTAAGTAGTTAAATATTTTATAGTTTAATTGATCTATTCAATTTAATTGTTTTATTATTTTAATTAGTTTAATATTATTAGTTTAGTAATTACATTTTAATGTTAGTAGTTAAATAACATATTGTTTAATTAATGTATGTAATAAATAGTTTTATATGCGTTATTTATTTATAGGTTTTAGGGTAAGATAATTTTTATGATTAATGTTATGACACATTAGGTTAGATGACATATTATTTATTTTATTATTTGAATTATTCTAATATTAATAGTTTAGCAATTGCATGTTAATTTAAGTAGTTAAATATTTTATAGTTTAATTAATCTATTTAATTTAATTGTTTTATTATTTTAATTAGTTTAATATTAGTAGTTTAGTAATTACATTTTAATGTTAGTAGTTAAATAACATATTTTTTAATTAATGAATGTAATAAATAGTTTTATATGCGTTATTTATTTATAGGTTTTAGGGTAAGATAATTTTTATGATTAATGTTATGACACATTAGGTTAGATGACATATTATTTATTTTATTATTTGAATTATTCTAATATTAATAGTTTAGCAATTGCATGTTAATTTAAGTAGTTAAATATTTTATAGTTTAATTAATCTATTTAATTTAATTGTTTTATTATTTTAATTAGTTTAATATTAGTAGTTTAGTAATTACATTTTAATGTTAGTAGTTAAATAACATATTTTTTAATTAATGTATGTAATAAATAGTTTTATATGCGTTATTTATTTATAGGTTTTAGGGTAAGATAATTTTTATGATTAATGTTATGACACATTAGGTTAGATGACATATTATTTATTTTATTATTTGAATTATTCTAATATTAATAGTTTAGTAATTGCATGTTAATTTAAGTAGTTAAATATTTTATAGTTTAATTAATCTATTTAATAAATTATTTTATATGCATTATTTATTAATAGGATTTAGTCAGGTTATATTTTTATATGTTAATGTGTATATTTATGTAGTTAATAAGTTGTTAATTATGCAATAAATAATATTATTGAATTAAATAAAATCATTTATTTGTAGGATTGAAAAATAAGTTGTGTTAACTTTGAACATTGACTTATATAATATGTATGTTAATGTTATTAGGTGTAGTACTTTTTATTAATGTATAATTTAATAATATTAATTGTTTGATATTATTTATAGGCTTGGCATCTAGGTTAGAAAAGAATTATTTTAATTTTGTTAGATTTTGTATTTACTAAAATTTAGATTATGCAATAATTAAAATAACCGAATTAAATAAAATTATTTAGTTTTAGGGTTGACAAATAAATGTGACAAAGTTCTTTTACCACAATGTTTGTGTTTATTTATTTATTTTTTAGTAATTAGTATTTATTTTTAGTATTTTTTATTAGTAATTAATTGTGGAGTATAGAATAATTAATTGAACTTGAAAATTAATATATTTATTAATAAATTTTGTATTTATTATTTGTAAATAGATTCATGGAGCAACAGAACCCGCAACAGGACCCGCACCAGACCTTCATTGACCCTGGTCCATTGGTGCCGTCTCTCCTGACGTTGTAGGAGAAACACATTTCGACGTACGTATGGAACAGATCTGGTGACGCAAATCCAGATGATCGTGTACTGAACGTCAGACACGCTGCTTCATAGGATCATCGAAATATACCCGAGGAGATCCATCCTTACCTGCAGTAGGCAGGGTTTTTTCACATTCCGCGTCTGCGCAACCATGAGGTTGGTGATACATAGAGTAGATAAATAAAAAAAATTACATGTTGTATAGTTAATCAATTGTGATAAAATGTAAAATAATTTTTTATTGTCAGATTGACCACCATCTCATTTCGGCCCTTGTGGAGAGATGGCGTCCTGAGACGCGCACATTCCATATGTCCATGGGTGAGGTGACGATTACTCTGGAGGATGTCCACCATCTGCTTGGACTGCCTACAGATGGAGAGGTTGTATCTGGCCGCGTTGGAGGTCATCCCTTCTCCCGGATGGTGGGAGATTTTTTGGGCGTTCAGCCGGGTCGGTCGCGCGACTTATATAAAAACCAAATTTCGCTTACATTTCTGAGGGAACGGTATCTAAATTGGCATGAATGGTCTGGAAATGAAGTTGACCGTATGCGATACACACGTGCATTGATTTTGCGCATTATAGGTGGTTGCCTCTTCGTTGAGACTGCATCTAGCTTCGTCCATGCGCGGTATCTCCTATTTTTGGATGATTTTCAGAGGACTAGGACGTATTCTTGGGGTTCCGCTGTCCTGGCTACTTTGTACAGGGAGTTGTGCAAGGTTACTGACCCAGGATGATCGGATATGGGTGGCTGTACTCTGTTACTACAATTGTGGGCATGGACACGTTTCCCTACTATCTCCCCAGGAATCCCAGAGATCACCGATCCAGATGCTATTTTTGGAGCAAGGTATGTCTGGCTTTTTTGTTTGTCTTCATTTTCACTGTCTGTTACGTTAATTAGTAATTTTTATTGTGTTATTGTTTTGCAGGTTTAATGAATATGTGTCCATACGACGTCGTTACTCCCACATCAGATGATATCGTCATCACATTGACGTTATGCCTACCCGCAGGATACAGTGGAGGCCATACGACGGATTCGTTGGGCATCCCCCCTCGTCCGAGGAGTCACGCAGATGGTTAGCTGTATGCCCACTCATACACTACCAGATTGTTGTCTACCAGCAGCCGGATAGAGTGCTGAGGCAATTTCATTTTAGGCAGCCGATACCGAGCGATCCTTTCATGAGTTCAGAGTTGCTGACCATCACCCTGACTGGTAAGGGTGATGTTGACTGGAGGGACCGACATGGACTTTATATAGCGCAGTGGCATTCCAGGGATGCCCTCATTGTGCAGGGTCTACAGCCCTTGCAGGGAGAAGGTCATCTGTCTCTCAACAGCACGTACATGCAGTGGTATTTTCATCATACGCGTAGATGGATTATGCAGAGATCGGCCATTCGTTCTCATGTGGTACGTTAATTTTAGCCCTTGTCATTAATATTGTTACAACTAATTTTTTTTGTTAATGACATCATACATTTAACATTATATTCGCTTCACAGAGTGATCGCATGGAGACTGTTCTGCATATGGCATCAGACGAGGCACAAGGAGCATTCACATATCGCCAGATATACGATGAGACCCTTCAGATGATGTCCGCATTCGATGAGTTTGGTAGACTGACAGAGCCTGGAGAGGCTGCACCTCTGCCGGCAGTGGTGCAGACAGTGGAACCGCCTCTTCATCCGCGTGTTAGCCAGTGTGCACGCCACGAGGGATTGCCACTGCATCATCAGGCTCCCGCTATGGCTGATAGGCCTGTGCTTGTGCAGTCTCTTCCGCCCCGTCCAGCGGTCAGTTTTATGCCTCGGCTTACCCCCCAGGCGGTCTGTCGCAGCCTTACTGGTGGCCTCCCCCAGGCGGTCCGTCTCAGCCTAGCGGGACATCGACTCACTTCGGGTACCCATGGTTTTCAGCACCGACGCAGTCATACCCTGGATATCAGCCACACTTCACTCAGCCATTCCCAAGTTAGCAGTTCCCAGGTCAAACCAGCGGTCCATCTTATTCTCATGCTGAGCCTTCTGCGCACGAGCACAACCAGTTTCCAGGACAGTCCAGTTCGCAGCCTCAGCCCGGTCTGGAAGAGTTCACAGAGGATTACATACCCACATTCGATTCCCCTGTCGTCATGGCCACACCGGAGGCATTTTCGGCTGACTTCTTTCAGTCACCCTCATCTGGTCCTACAGGTTTGCTTGCGCAGGAGGACATTGCGGGTACTTCCGACGATATTGATGCAGACGCAGGAGCGGAAGCAGCCGTTGCACCCGGAGGAGACGGTGAAGACGTGGTCAGGCGTAATCCAGATAGACAGGCCAGGGAGCGCTGTTTCTTGTCACCATATGAGCATAACCAGGCACGGTGTGCCAAGTATCATGGGCGGCCGCGACAGCAGTGATTTGTTGTTTTATCATAGGACTTTTTATTTTATCAGAGCATTAATATGTATGTAAATGATATGTTTTGGACTCCATCCTTAGATTTCCATTTATTACTGTATGTTGACTATTATGTTATTGTTAGATTCATGTGGTGTTATGTGTTATCCCTAGTTAACTACCCGAAAAGAAAATTATGAAACCAGCAAGCACACGATGATCATATTAATTAACATATTACATTCACTAAAGTTCACGACTAACGACAACCCAGAATCAAATAAAAGCAGGCATAATTATAAACGAAACAAAAAAACGTGTGACAACACACAGGCAGGAGAGGGTAACCAACGTTTCGACAAGTTTGTTTCACGCAACATTTAATTGCCTTGCAAGCGAGATGAACAACGACGTCTGTCATGGCCAACAACCCTACAATAACCATATCTTACCTGCTGGCTCACACCCTCGCGCTGATCCATTTCGTTACGGATTCGGGTACTTCACGACCTGCCTTTTTTACGTCTAAGTGACACATCCGGGAGAATTGTTGGGCCTTGGCTGGGTGGGATGAAGTCTTCATTACCAATTGGATACCATTGCCCGGAATATACCTGGCATTGATATGATGCACTATATGCAGGATCAATGTATTGTAAGGGGTCATGATTTATTGATTTGAACGCAGCAATCACATGACTACATGGGTACCTAAAAGCAGTAAACTCACCACATTGACAGGCCCAATCCTGTAATGAAACCCTCCATTTCTTCCTGCCTCTATGAGTTCTTTGATTGTAAGACTCTTGAACTTCAAATCGTGTTTTTTGTCTGTCATACGACGTAACAAAGTGTGTTGCAGCATTTTGTTGGTTTTTAACGTATTCAACCCAGAACACTTTGGCGAAACGATTACCTTTGTCCATCTCTTCCCGAGCCTTCTGCCCGTGGGCCAAAAAATATTCGTTAAGCCTAGCGTACGTGATGCGCACCAAAGACGTGATTGGTAAGTTTCTGGCACCTTTAAAAACCTTGTTAACACACTCCGACAAGTTTGTAGTCATATGGCCAAATCGCCTTCCTTCAGCATCGTATGATATACTCCATTTTTCCTTCGGAATTCGATCAATCCATGCTGCTATCTGTGGGCTTGATTCTTTAAATTTTTCCAAACCAGCGTCAAAATCCAATCGCGATGTAGTGTAGCCTGTACATGACAACACATAATTGTTAATAACTAATAACATCAGCGTCGTACGATCATTGTAACAAATTAAAAAAACTCTAGTGACATCCATACCTAACTTCTTTAACTGCTTCTTCAACATGATGTTTTTGAACTTATGATTGAAATTGCTTGCCAGATGTCTCACGCAAAAAACATGGTACGCTTTGGGTGGTTGCCACCCTAACGCAACATTATTGACGGCTGCCAATATACCTGCATGTCGATCAGAAATAAGGCATATTCCATCTTTCTGAGTCACATGGATCCGTAACATGGCCAAAAACCAGGACCAATTGTCAATATTCTCACAACTAACAACAGCAAACGCTACAGGCAGGACATAATTGTTACCGTCAACAGCTGTAGCGATCATTAGCGTTCTGCGGTATTTTCCATACAAATGTGTCCCATCGATTTGGAGCATAGGCTTGCAATAATTAAAGGCATCACAACACTGTTTGAATGTCCAAAAAACCCTTTTAAACACCTTGTGCGAACCATCGAGCCGACCATCAATCCTATGTTCATTCACATCCAGTTTATAGGCAGACCCAGGAGAAAACAATAACATATAATCCAACCATCTTGGCAGAAACGCGTACGACTCATCCCAATCCCCAAATACCCTCACAATTGCCTTCTGCTTTGATTTCCAGGCTTTTTGGTATGATATATGAAATCCTAGACTTGATGCAATCCTCTCCTGTATTAACCCAATTTTAACACTAGGCTCTTCACGTATCATTTCTGCGGTTTGACAAACAACGTATTAGCGTTACACTCACAATATTAATTTAAACATTTACCAGATGGTTGACTTACCGATGATCAATTCACAAATGAAACTAGAGTTAAGTTGTTTGTGATCCTGTGAAAGTGTTTGAGATACACACGTATGGATGTTGTTCCACACGCCTATTATCCATTCATGACCGCCTTTTTTCAGATATGCTCGCATCCTCCACGGACAACCATCATTGTGATTTTGACAAATCATTATCAGCCTTTGCGTATCACTTTTTAGTACGACAGTTGTGCGATTTTTTGCCATACAATACTGTTTGATGGCCATTTGTACATCCTGCTTGCTTTCAAATTGCTGGTCCTTATAAAGCTCTTGACCCATTTGCCAATTTGGTACTTGTGCCCCTTGCATGTCATCACACTCTTGATCGGGGTGTGCCCAGTTAATGTGCGTGTAATGTGGTATTTCTGACCAAAATGGAACATTATCCACTGCTTTTTAACACACATTTCGAATGTCGTTAAGTACATAAAAATATAATTAAACTGAAACAGTAAACTATCTTAAAACTCAAATGGTAAACTACCTAACCTGCAGCAGGTGGTGGGTCATGCGCACCAATAATACCCGGTGATGGAATCGGTTGAACCAAAGCAGTGGACGTTTCCAACTCGAAATCACCATCAACGTCTGTATCTGACGAGTCACTGTCAGGGACTAGACCTTCATCAACCTCCTCCTCGGAACTATCAGTACGCCCCGATGGATCATCTACTTCATTGGCATGAATCACATCTAAAGGTTGTGTTATTGGGGGAGATGATGGTGGGGGTGACACATTCATATCTTCCGCATCTACTTCCGGCTCTTTGTTAATGTCTATAGAGTGACTGGTAGGGATGAAACATTGAGTGCTTGCCTCTCCACCGATGTTTAGTTCCGCATATAACTCGATGTATGAGGACTCTCCATGCTGTCGAAATGCATCAACTACTAGTGACACATCTTCATCCTCAACCACCTCCACAGCAGCCCATTGCACGGGGTTACCAGAAGCACATCTAACAATCAGTCGAGACAAGGATTGACCTCGTTGTAATCTCAACTTCTTGTATATTATTTTCTTGAGCTCATTATATTTGCAACGCGGACTCATGCGGAAGATCTTCGTATCTCCTTCAAACACTTGACCATTCAGTCCAAAATATCTTCTCCCATTGTAATATAGAAGGCATATTACATCATTGTTATTCTCACTCATTATGTACTGAAAATAGAATTCACACACAGAAATGGAAAAATTTCTTTTGAAAATGAACGAGAGAATGAATGACTGATCGAGGAAGGGGGTCTAAATTATATAACATTGAGTTCGCTTTATGGCCCAGCGACCTGTAGCTGTCGGCAAGTAGTTCGCTGACCAAGGCAGCGGACTTCGAGGGAACTGCCCACGTCGCACCTAGGTCGCCTTGGCCCCCAGCGAACTTGGCAGGGTTCAAACACGTGCCATCTAGGTCGCTTGCGTAGGCAGCGAACTCAAAATACGTTGCAGGCTTTTTATCACCCAAGTTCGCGGCTGACACAAGCGAACTTGAGAACCAGCAGCTGACTGACACATCATCATGCCTAGTTCGCTACTACTCCCAGCGAACTAGCCCGCGTGGCAGTTTGGGAAAAAAGTTCAGGTGCGTGGCATTTAGGTAAATAACAGTGGGAACAGTGGCACAATGGTCACTGTTCCAACTTTGTACACACATACACTTTAATTTTGCGAGCTCAGCACATAGAAGGAGATTCATATGATTGCTTCTTATCATCGCTGGACCTAGAATTTTTTATAATGTAGCGAAATAAAGTATCAAAATTACAAGTGTTATTAAGATTAATGAAAAATTTAACTATTACAACTATTTTTATTGGAGGGGTTACTTATTAATACTAATAATATAGATTATTAAAAAATATTATTATATATATAATAAGATGAAGGTTATACTTACAACTTTTTTCTTACAACCTCTTACAACCATATCTTAACATCGTTGATTTTCTTCAATCAACGGTTATCATTTTCGCAAATTAAACTCATTAATTAATTATTAATTAACAATAATTAATAACCGTTGATTGGCGGAAATCAACGGTGTTAAGATATGATTGTAAGAGGTTGTAAAAAAAAGTTGTAAGTATAACCTTCCTCGTATAATAATAAAATAAAATAAAATTTAGGAAGAGAAGAATTCTATGATGTACCGACACTGATACGGGACACGACACGCCGACATGTTAATTCTAAAAAATGTCATATTTCGACACGTTGGGACACGTTTTGATATTAAATAATATTTTTAATATATATATAATATAATTTATATTTAATACATATAACAGCCCATAATAAGTCATATAAACAATCAAATATTCAAATTTCATAACATAAATATAAACAAAAATAATTTTTCATACCTTGTTAATTTTTCATATCAAATTTCATAACAGAAAAAATTGATTTATAAATTATTTTTTTATGTTTATTTAATAAAATAATATTAGATACCAAAAAGTAAATAAATAAATAAAATTTAGACTAAAAAAAACATGTCAAAACATTGACTGCGTGTCAAAAAAATGTGCCAGAGTATTGACCACGTGTCGGAGCGTGTCCGACACGCATTTTTTTAAAATTTGTGTGTCTGTGCTTTTTAGGAGAAGATCGCTCATCATTATCCTTCCCCTAGGTTCACTCCTGCTCCTTATGCATATCAAGCATTTTTTCTTTGAGGATTATAGTTTTGAACAAATTATATAATTTTGGGATGTATTTCAAAAAGAGTATTTTAATATTAATAAATTAAAGTTAATGTTACAAATCATTCGTTCACATTTAAACTTTGGGCAAATAAAACCTTATAATTTAATTTTAGTAAAGCAACTGCTAAATTTTAAACATTAGTAATCCAATATCCCCCACCCCAAAAAAAAATCTTAATTATAATTTTAGCTTGAGTTATTTCTTAATGTTCCAAAGTATTTGTACAAAATCTTATAGCACCGGTGACAAGAGGGAAATATTTTTATCATAATGTTTCAATGACAAAATGCCAGACCTTTTTATCATAATAATGTTTAAAAGGGGAATATTTTCCCTCTTTAATTCAAAAGCCAAATAATGGCAAAAAAATTTATTTATTGTAATTTAATTAAATAATTACGCAAATATGACAGTTTTAAAAATATTTACGCATCTATTGCACACTGTGACGCTCCTTTTGGGTGTCACATGTGACGCCCCACTGGGGCGTCTCTCATGAGGGGAAGACGCCCAAATGGGGTGTCTCTCATGAGGTGGTGACACGTGTCACTTGTTTTTCCAAAAAAAAAAATTAATTTAATCATAAAACTTTTAAAGGTCATAACTTTTGACTCGAGTATCCAAATAAGGTAATTCTTTTTTTGATTCCACATAACTTTCCGAGATCTACGCAATGACATCTCATTTGACATTTTTATTTCTCACAAACACAATTTTAATTTGCAAGAATGGTATTATAAGAGCGGTTAAACCCAGAAGCCTTTGAGTTCTGGATTTGTGATTTAATATAAAAAAATAAATAAAAATTTTGATTTGTGATTTAAATTTTTTTTATAATAATTTTATTTATTATAACAAAATTTTGGTTTGTGATTTAAATTCAAAATAAAAAAAAAATATTAATAATAAGGAAAGCAAAATAAAGATTTGATTTGTGATTTAAACTAAAAAATCAATTTGAAAAATCTGTAGAAATAAAAAAATAATTAAATAAATATTATAAATTTCTAAGGAAGAAGGATATTATTTTTAAAATTAATGATTAATGCTATAAGCTTCTGGGTTATTATTCGTGGTCTGAAATTAATGATGGCTTATGAATGTTTTTCAAAAATAAAATTACCTAAATTAAGCGTGATTTCCTCTTGATAGAAACCCAATTTAGATGTGATTGGTGATGTGTTAGGTTTTGACAAGTGTTGACACGTGTCACATTTTTAAACTCAGAAGCCTCTGAGTTCTGCGTTTGTGATTTAATACAAAAAATAAATCAAGATTTGATGTGTGATTTAAATTAAAAATAATAATTTTTATTATTTTTATTATAAAAAAATTTGGTTTGTGATTTAAATTAAAAGTAACAATTATTATTAATAAGGAAAACAAAATAAAGATTTGATTTGTGATTTAAACTCAAAAATCAATTTGAAAAATCTGTATTAATAAAGGAAATAATTAAATAAATATTCTAAATATCTAAGGAAGAAGGATTACCTGATTTAAATTTAAATTATGTTGGTGAGAAATAAAATATATAAAATGAGATGTCATTGCATAGATCTCAAAAAGTTATGTAGAATCAAAAAAAGAATTACCTGATTTGGATACTCGAGTCAAAAGTTATGGCCTTTAGAAGTTTTATGATTAAATTAATTTTTTTTTTGGATAAACAAGTGACACGTGTCACCACCTTATAAGAGACGTCCCATTTGGACGTCTTCCCCTCATGAGAGACGCCCCAGTGGGGTGTCACTGTGTGCAATAGATGCGTAAATATTCCCCAAACTGTTATATTTACGTAATTATTTAATTAAATTACAATAAATAAATTTTTTTGCCGGCAAATAATTTTTTAAAATAATATGGTGAAACGCAAGGCATGCACGTTAGGATTGTGCATTACTTCCATGCATAATTTATGCAAAAGCAAACCATTTTATTAATTTGGTTCAATTCGAGCTAAAGACGAACTAAACCGAGTATGAAAAAAATTCAAATGAGCAAAACTGAACTGCAACCCAAACCAACAGCACCACATTTTTTTCAAATCAATTTAAGAACCGAAATTTTTATTTTATTCAATTCAGTGTAGAAACCGAACTGAATAGTAAGGATTAACTTTTCCCAGCTCGTAACGAAGCAGCAAAACCAAGCAACAAAGGCTCTTGGTTAGCCTTGCCGGCAACGAAGCAATACCTCTTGACAACAGAGCAGCAGGCTTGGACAAAGAAGCACAGACACGCTTCTTTTTAAAAATATTGTGAATCGGACTGACATATTTCGATACGCAATTAATATTCTTTTACCCGCATGAAAAATATATTTTTTCAACACACATCAATATTTTTCGACACTTTTTTTTATTCAAATTTTATTTTATTTTATCTCTTTAACCAAACATGAAAAATTACTTTATAAATTAAATAATTTTTGTTACAAAATTTGACATGAAAAATTAACAAGAAATAAAAAATTATTTTTACTTTATATTTATTTATGTTATAAAATTTAAACATTTAATTAATTGATGATTTATTATGAATTACTATATGTTAAACAGATTATATTATATATAATAAAAATATTATTTAATATCAAAATATGTCCTAACATATTAAAATCTAATATTTTTTAAAATTAACGTATCGTATCGCCATGGCATGTACCCGTCTGGGCAACATAAGGCTTGGACATGAAGATGTTTTGCTTTCATAATAATAATAACATGAAACAACCAAAACCAAAATCCGTTATCCCAGTTTTTTGAGCGTCTAGCTCACAGCTCAATTTTTAAACAGTTGGTTTTAAGGGTCAAATGAACCGGACACATAACTGGTTAAATTGGTTCATCCCCCTAAGCTTTGGAAATTACCTAATGCATAAGAGACAAATTATGTACTCAAAAAAATTCCTTATAAAACATGATAAATGGACAAGCTTAAAAAACTACAACACAACAGTAAAAATGTAGAGTGCACGGGTGGTGTTTTAGAGATGAGTAAGGGTATGGCAGAGGTTCAAAAGACTTCAACCTTCACTTCTTTTAACATAAAGGGGTCCCAACTATCTATTTTACTGATAGTACATTAGATGCTGGTTAGACGCAACATTCTGGAATCCTGCACCATAACCAGCCCCAGGAGCAGAATGCTGACCCTGCTGATGCATGAAAGCATGAGCACCCCCCATTTTGCTCAAGGCCATTTGGCGTTCATATGCTGCTAGTGTAGTGGGTGAAAAGCCTGGCACCTGTGCAGCAGTTGGTGGTGCAAGGGGAGTAGAGGCTGTTCCCGGTGGGGTAGGCTTACTACCCCATGAACACTGCAATAAATCAATTACAAATATTAGATACAAAATTTTCTAGAACCTTTTGAGTTTGAAAAATCAAAATATATCATCAACATATGGAATATATGATCAACATATGGTGTAAGATCCTTTTGGGAACAACGATTTTTGACAACGAACAACACAATTGGCATCTTACATGAAAACCTTAGTAAAAAACATATAAAATATAATAAATATCTACAGGAAATTCAATCAGTCATAGATTTTTATTTTTATTTTCTGATAGCGCCCAAGTAAGATCCCATGAACACATCACCTCTGAACAAAAGGGCATAAAATAGTACACAGCACCATCAGACATACAACATTGAATTGTTGACAAATAAATATCATCACAATAGTAATGTACCTTCATGGGTTTGCCAAACAGAACCTGAGCATTACCCATCTGAATGGCAAAAGCTGCTTCCGCATGTGTACTAAATCTCACAAAACCAAAACCTTTGTCTCGTTGCACCCTAACATCTATAATAGTTCCAGCGCCCAGGGCAAGAAATTGACGATGAAGATCACCAGAATTAACCTGCAATTTCACAGCTTATGAGAACTGCAAGAAAGCAAATTCAGAACAAACTGAATTTATGATAGGCCACCCTTTAAAAGGGTATACAATAGAAGAAAAAAAGCTGCAGGTTGGAATAAACATGGGGTGTGTGAATGAGTTTGTTATGGAATATTCTGAGGTGGGAAAATTGGTGAGAACTGGTGGGGAAGGAAAAAAAGGTATAGAGGAATTTGGGTAAAATTATTGGGAGAGAGCTGTCCTCTCCAAGTGTCTAGGGTATTTTCTTTCCTTTTCCATTTAATGTTTCCATTGTTATTCTGTAAATTTTCCAGAAACACTATACGGAATACAAATACAGTGTTCTCTATTCCACTTTTACCTGTTGCTATAATGATTTATTTTCTCCATTTAATCTCTGGTACCCACCAATTTACAAAAGAACTAGACTACCCATATTTTACACAACTCACTAAACAGAACTGGGTAATCTAGTATCAAGTAGTTAAGCACTCTCCATATTTGCACATAGCTACAAGTCATACCATCACATTTGAATTGCCATAAAAATAAAAGCTAGTTATAATGAACTAATAAGATAAATAAAACCTAGCATAAAAGAATACTTATCCTTGCCTCTGGAGCAAGATTGCCAACATAAACAGTAGTATATTGAGGATTCTTCTCTCGAGAGTCATCATTAGTCATTTCTTGGCCTTCTTCTGCGACCAAAAAAACCAGCTAACTATTAAGCAAAGATCATTAACCAAGTAAAATATACAATCAGGCCACTGAGTGAATTGGATTAGATTTTGCAAAATGATCTCAGATTAAGTTCTTTTTGTGAACTTTATTTTGCTCAAAAGTGGGTTTGCATTTTGCAGAGATGAGAGAAGTAACAACTATGTTTGGGAATTCACTTTAAGCACAAATGTAAGGAAACAGCCTTTTTTTTTGTGGGGGGGGGAATGCAATGTATAATCGACTTTCACCCCTACCCTCACAAAATCGGAGAGCTTGTGCACTGGGGGCTTGCCCTTCAACACAAAAGCATGCGATATTTTTTTTTTTTTGTAAATAAAGCATGCAATATTTACTTTAGACAAAACAGCCTTTTCAGATCAGAATGAAATTTGAGACAAAGTCCCGTTGGATGGGCCAAATACCCACTCACCATTTGATGGAAAAATATCTGTGCGCTAAAAATAAATATATCAAACATGATATACACACAGAAGATAGTAAGAAGCAAACTGTGGTCGCCAGATCCAGTGCGGAGGCTGACGATCTTTTTTCTGATGATACGAGGTTGAGGACAAGAAATTTGTGACTAAATAAGGGTTAGGTGTGAAAGGATGGTTGCCGGTATGATGCACGGCAGTAAAAAGAAAGGAAAAGATATATATGCGGAAGCAGAGCCCTCAGATCGAGAGCTCTGATACCAAATTGAATCTGAAATATAATAAATTAATATTATTTCTAACAAAGATAAACCAAACCAATGTGCTATATAAGAAGCCAAACAAAAAGGTAGTCAGGCATTCCATTAGAATAGATATATGAAATGATGTCCAATAGCGACAGTGTGACAAATTACTTTCAATTCAATTATTTTAATGACAGTGAATCAGTAACCATTTTCACCAGCAACTATTATGGACTTCACAAGTGCTTCCAGAAACAGGCAATAAAAACAAGAATTGCATGACATCTAAAGTCAACTGCAAATTATAAAAAGACACCATAATCAAAAGCTCACCAAATGTTCCATTTGTTAACTCCACAACAGTTTTGGAATCCGAACTCTGCTTGTCATCATTGGCATTACCCCCTTTCATGGCCCAGTTACAACGAATCTGTCTATTTCCAAGCCACTTTCCTGATATTCAGGAACAGAGAGAAATTCAGATACAATGGAAGCTGTTAATTAAAGTAATAAACTACAAGCTATAAATTATAAAGTAATTTTTTTTTGGTAGATACCAAGCGGTGTCAGAAACCCTAAGGCTGACTAATTCAGTTTCGGATTTGAGTCTCTCCACCTTTCCCACAAATATATATAACTGATAGGATTCTAAATAACTGTATGATGGACTGATACATAATAAACACTAAATACATCTATGTATACTAATATATTAATAAGTACAACTGGGACAAACTGAATAGGTATCAGAACAGAAATTACAGCAATTAGACAAACATATGTGTACAATTGTATTCAGCTCTCTGATATTGTAACAAATTCAGAGGCATGTGCATGAGAAAAATTACAAAACTAAAGAAATAGAAAGAAAAAAAGTTCCAGTGCTTTCGAGAGGTACAGGTCTCTCCGAGTTCCCATATCCTTCCTAACAAATAGCCTACCTAACAGTCTCCCTTCCCTCACTATTAAACTCTCTCTCTCTCTCTCTCTGACCCTCAATCTGTCAGTAACCACCTCTCCCACTAATGAGTCACGCATGATGAACACATGGGTGACCGTCCCTAGTGTACACCCACATAATTGAGTGTATTCTTATCAATAATTCTCCCTAAAAGAATCACCTTGTCCTCAAGCCTCAAGGTGAGGGTTAACCAGCGAAAATCCCTCCCCTGAGATCCCAATGAGAGAAATATAAGGGCCAACTTATAATTGAAGCATAAGTGCTCCCACAGGAGTCCCTTTGCCCTTCTTCCCTAATGACATCATCATTTTCCAACAGCCGATCATCAGGGCTTAGCACCTGCAGAAATTTAATGATCCCCCTTCTTGAAAGACATCTTTTTCAACAAGCTTAAACACCTTAAAGAATGCCTCCTGCAATATAGACTTTAAAAATGAAGGCATGCTTCCAGGAGTAATATCCTCCTCAAATATCAAACCGAAGAAAGGCACCAATTTACAGCCAGAATAGATGGAAAAGACGCGAGCAGAATTGATGGCACCCTTTACAGCAGCCACTAGCTTTTCATGTCCATCTTTTCATGTTCATCTTCTGACTCAAAAAAAAATTGTTGCATTAATAGCAGCAGGCTTTTGACGTGCATAGGCCTTACGATCAGAAAGTTTCCAGTTTTGTGGACAACATGCCTAGTTTTGATTCTTATCAGATCCTAGTCTTGCGCTCCTTAGTTGTTTTGCAGGTACTATATTTCCAAGCTTCTCAGATGCCATTGGCACCAACAACCTTCTGGCAGCGCATCCTGTCCTCCCTTGTCTCCGAACACCATCTACATGTTCTTCCCTGGAACGACGCTTGTTCTTTATTGTTAACAATACCAAGTATTAGAGAATAATATAAACCATTAAGAAGGCATACGCCCCAACGCCTTAAAGTCTTGGGTTGAAGTAATTATTTACATGGTATCAAAGCCTTAGTGACCACAAGGTCACGAGTTCGATCCTCACCCCCCCTATTTTCTAGTGGAATTAAAATAAACACAAGGTAAACCAAAAATTGGGTCTGTGTAATATCCACGCTTCAAGCCCAAAAGGTTCTTGCGTGAAGGGGTATGTTAGAGAATAATATAAACCATTAAAAAGGCCCTCACCCAACACCTTAAGTTTTGGGTTGAAGGGGTTCTTTACACCAAGTTAGACACCTTTTCAACACTTTGTCCCGCCTTCAGATCTATCTATTGTAGTACTTGAGGGTGGTGGGCTAGCTGAATCAAACTCATCACAAACAGCAGCTGCCTTTGTTAAAAGCTCCTAACTTCGCCCTTTTCTTGTTTGGACTAACAGCATCTAGGTGTGCTCTAATTGATTCTGGTCTTGAAAAGCATCAAAACTGAAACTTCAACATAGAACTACAACCATTTGTCATTGTTTCTAGGTCAAGCTGAGGAGCTTGAATTGTGGCACTAGATATATAACAGAAATCAAATTTTTTTTGTTCCACTTGCATAAACTTGACAGTAACTTGGGCCTGACTCCCAGATTGACCACATTCCATCTCAGACATAGTTTTCTTCTTTGAATGAGTGTTTTTCTTTTTTTTTGAAAATATTCCATCGGTTCATCGCTTAGCTACTAGTCTGATTCGGGGTGGATCCAGGATTAAGCTTTAAACCCCTCCCAAAGGTGGTAATAGGGAGGATCGAACACATGTTCTCACCCCCACCTGCTCAGCTCTCAATGAGTCTGTGTCTTTTGTTGCTTCCTTACATCACTCCAATGCCCCTCCCCCGCATTGCAAAACATGACGCGCCGATCACGCAGCACATTGGATTGAAGTTGATATGAACAACTCACTAGTAGGCTAAATTGAAAAGGAATTAACAATCAATACACCAATTATAAAAGGAATATGTGAATTGTATTGATGTTCAAATTGGAAAATAGCCCACTACAGCCGGCAACCTATCAGAACAAAAAATACAGATAAAAATTGGAAGCAAAATTACAAAGGAACAAGTAAAAGAAAGGATAATTTTAGAAGACTTAGAGAACTTCTAATCTCTCCCAAAAGCCAAGGGTTTCCAAAGCCCAAAAATGATCACAAAAAGGCCTCTCCCACTCCCATATAAATGTACCCTTTTTGCTCTCCTATCACATTCCATGCTAACTGTTTGTAACAGAAATGCCATTCATTATTGTGTTGATCCCCTGAATCGTTGCCTACTGTACACCCTCATCTTAGAAAGGGTCGTATGACAAGTGTTTGGAAAACTCTACCAAGCTCGTTGACTGAGACATGGTCGTTTCCATGGGTGTCGGTACGGCGGAATGCTCTCCCAAGTTCATCCATGTCTAAGGTACAATGATGGTGCAATGTTCAATTTCGGGTCGGTGTTTCGATTCAGATCGGTTTCAAGATCGAGTTTGGGTCTGGGTTATGGATTCAGATCAAGTTTTGGATCAATTTGAGGTGGATTCTTTGGGTCGGGTTTTGCTGGTGTGAGTGGATCCATATCCATTGTTCAAGCGATTGAATATAGATGGGCAGAGAATGGAGGGTAGTCTGGTGGCTTGGGTGTTAGGAGGTGGGTTGGTTACCTCTGTTGGCGGCGATGATGATGTCAGTGCTCATACACCCATTATCACGACTCTTTGGTTTTATTATGGAGTTTCTTCTAGTTCGCGGACTAGTGATATCCTTCTATCTCCTCCAACTCCTCATCATTCCTAGTATGAACATGGTAGGTCTCTGAACTCTTCATTGGAGACTTCTTCACCTCCATTTTCAATTTTAAAAACTTCGATTTTGCTTCCTCGTCAGAAAAGTACAAATTCGAGTCCATCTCCGGTTGAAAACGCTTGAGCATTGCCTTAAATAAGCCCCACCAAGTTGCGTTAGGATGGAGATAACTCCACATATTGTACCAAACCCAAGCATGTCCTCTCAGTCCCCTTACAGCTTTTGCAACCTCCTTTGCTTCTTGCGTTCCATTTTTTTGGAAATATTGCTCCATGTTGATCAGCTACCAAGAGGCTTCTTCACGATCAAATTTTGGAATCATTTTTTTCTATTACCATAGGTCACAGATAGAGAGCTCCGATACCAATTGATTAGTACTAGAACAAAAATTACAGCAACTCGACAAACATATGAGTAAAATTGTATTCAGCACATAGTTATCAAATGCAGATTGCGGCCAACCCTCAAAACCGCTATAGCATTATTGCGGGTTGCGGTTGCGGAAATAGCGAAAAAAATATATATATTAAAATAATAAATTATATATATATATAGGGAAAAACTATTCTCATGTCACATGAGACAAGTTCTGTCCTACACACCCTTCGATAACTGTGTCACCTTTTTCTTTTCTTTTCTTTTTTCAGGTGGTGGAGCCCACTAGTTTGTCTCTATGACATGAGATAATTATCTCCTTTAACATGATATTAATAAAACCCATATATATGTGTGTGTGTGTGTGTGTGTGTGTGTGTGTGTGTGTGTGTGTGTGTGTGTGTAACATAATAAATTATTAAAAAAATAATAACACCTAAAAAAATCAAATAATACTTTACTGTTTTACCTTAGTTACCTTTTAATGATTCATTCTTTTTTTTTTTTTTGGGATACAGAAATAGTTTTACCTTCTGTTACGGTAACCAAGTTACTTGTTACCGTGTCTTGTGAATCACTTTTCTGACAAATGTACTTTTCTTTTCTTTGAATGAAGATAGATCAGAATCTCTTTCTTTCTCACTTTCTCTCCTTTTCTCTTTCATCCGTTCTCTCTATCTCACAGTTTCTCTTTTTCTCCTTCATCTATTCTCTCTCTCTCTTTCTATTTCTATTTTTCTCACTTTTTTTCCTTTTCTCCGTTATCTGCTCTCTCTCTCTCTCTCTCACTCTTTCTCTCACTCAAAGCTTTGCTTCTTCGTTCATGGCTTCCGCATTGAACTTCAATACTATAAGAGAAAAGTAGAGAAGGGAAGAAACGAGCGCGATAAAGAGAGCATGAGAGGCAAAAGAGAGACACACAACAGAGAGGCAGCAAGGGAGAGTGGGTTAGGGTTAAAACCATAAAAAGACACTGTTGCGGGGAGATTTGGCCGCAAATGCGGCCGCAACTACCGCTATTGCGATTTGGTGCGGCGCGGCGAGAATGGTTGCGGCGAAGCGCAACTGGCGCGGCTTGCGGCGCAATAACGCCGCTATTGACTACTATGATTCAGCACTCTAATATTGGAACAAATTCACAGGCATGTGTATGAGAAAATTACAGACCTACAGAAATAGAAAGAAAGATAGTTCCAGTGCTTTCGAGAGGCACATGTCTCTCCCAATTCCCAAATCCTTCCTAACAAATAGCCTATCTAATAGTCCCCCTTCTCTCCCTATTTAACTCTCTCTAACCCTCAACCTATTAGTAACCACTTCCCCCACTAATGAGTCACACATCATGATCAGCACATTTTGGGGGGGGGGGGGGGGATCCTTTGTGGCCTTTCCTAGTGTTCACCCTCATAATGAGTGTATTCTTATCACAAACACTCCTAACAAGACCTCTAACACAATAATAATTCTAATGTTCTTTCTTTTAATGAAACCAACATCCCATAAAAATTGATATCATAATATATTGATTAAGAGATTGAATGGGGATTACACGTATATCAAATTTAACATCCAATTCCTATCAAAAGCAATAGTGACAGAAGTATAGAACATATTTAGGGCTTGCTGCAGGATATGGTACATAATTTTATGTTTTATAGAACAGCTCAAAAATTCAATGACACAGTATTGAAGATTTCACACACACACTTCAACAACTAGCACTGAAGTCATAAACCCATCTTACCAGTTAGATCATTTATGGCACCTTGGGCATCCTGATCAATCAAATAAGGAAACCAAGATACAATTATCACTAGATAAACGCATAGAAAACCCAAAAGACAGTAAGAAAACAGAATAAAAGGGGGGAAATTCATGCCTGCTGATTTCGAAAGGAAACGAAACCAAATCCCCTGGAACGGCCGGTCTTTGGATCCCACATGACCTTTGCATCTCTATAGCCAATGTATCACAAGTGTCATGATAACAGGAATTGAATTCAGATATACATTCAGTTGCAAGCACTTCAGACATAAAATACTGCAAGAAAACAAGGATAACAAGATAACAAGTGAAAAGAATATGGAAAAGGGCACAGAGAAACTTACGAACAACTAGAATATATAGAGAAGCAAGCAAACAGTGTAGCATCAGTAACCTCAGGGCTCAGATCACCAACAAAAATATTGAAGTGACCTGAATCCAAAGAAAGAAGAAAGGTTAGTTTCCGTTCTACAAAATAAATATAAATTATAAACACAATGCTAAAAGGCGAAAGTACAGGGTCAGCAAAAATAAAACCTGATGTATCCTCTTTCTGGCTGCTAGCATAAGCCCAGTTAACTTTAATAGGCTGCCCAAAACTGCACTCAACATATTAATATATGAAACAAGAAAAATTTGTACTGCAACAGAACTCAGATGAACAAGAGAAAGATTTCTACACACATGTTCCTCCCATTGAGAGTTCCAATAGCAAAAGCAGCTGAACTGCGATCAAAGTAGTCCACAAAGCCATAGGATGACTGCAGAAGACAATAAAAGTAGATCATCATGATTATGATGCAACTGCTATAAGCACAAGCATAGCATGGAAAACATACATTTGTAATTTCCTATTACCTATCCAGAGTCTTTTGCTCAATCAACAACTTGTTATTTACAACAGGTAACATGTATCGGGGACTCTATAAACATACATGATTGACCCTTCCTTTGATTTTCACTTTAAAAACATCTTATAAATTTATAATTATAAAACAAAGCTGACCTTCTCTTTCTTAATGAGCTTGCATCCTTCAAGAGGGCCCGCATTTGAAAAAAGCTCTTGAAGAAGGGCCTCTGTAACTTGAGGATGAATGTTGCCCACATAACTGCATTTCCTCAAAAGCAATTAGAAATTTGAAAATGAAAATTTGAAAGCAAAGGAAAAAAAAATGAATAGGCCTACATCATTTAGCATAAGCTTGCATAACAAGAGAAAAGGAACAGAATGGTAAAAGGTCAAATATATAAATAGAAACCGATATAAAAATTTGCAAATAATTTACACCTAGAGATTATCTCAAAGGCAATCAATGAGGCCAACAACTCACTGAAGGCATCTATTTTTTATTTTATTTTATTTTATTTTTTTGGTAAAGGTATCAAAACATGGAGGGGAAACACATAAAAAAAATTAATTGAATAAATTTTAGGAAAAAAACAAAGGGAAAGAAAAGAAAATATCTATTAAGACTCACACACTGCGGCATGTACTTGAATCAAAGCCAGGAGGCAGATTTCCACTCAAGATAGGTTCTATCTGCAAAATAAAAATGTAAAAATCCAAAGGAAAAAAGAAAGTAACTCTAGAAGCAACAAAAAAAAAATTAAAAAAAAAAAATCTATTCTCTCTTCACCAGTAACTAATCTAAGCAAACAAAACGCAAATAACCCAATCATTGACAAACCTAAGGTCTAAGGTGGCTTTCACATATCTTAAAAAAAAAAAAAAATAATACAAGGCTCGCAATATTATTCAAATAATAGACAAGTAGAATTTAATCAGCTGTAGAATATGTATTAACAAAACAGGGAAAGAAAAAACACATATTTAGAGTAATGCACATGATTCAATTAAAAAATGAAAAATAGTAATGAAAGAGTAAAGAAGAGGAACCTGAGGGTGTGTATAGAGAGCGGGGTGATGATAGAGTGATTGTTGCATCATCGCATGTTGCTTTAACCTCTGTTGCTGTTGGTGTTGCTCCATCTTCAACTTTAAGGGCGATTGTGTTGATGATGGGAACGAAAAGCTTTGACTATTGAGATTAGGGTTGCAGTAACCAGTAGACAAGAGAATAAATAACCTAACTAATTGATAGATAAGGAAAATAAAATTAAAGAAAAATAAAATACAAAAAAAAAAAGGGGAGAAACCCTCGAGCGGAGAGGGTTGAGCAAACTGCAAAAGTAGGATAGATAAGAAGGAAGATGATCGATGAATTGATGATATTGATACAGAGGAATCCCAAGCCTTAAAAAAGGCATTCAATTTTTTATTTTATTTGTTTTTTTTGGAAAAGTTGAAAAATCACCCTTTGGTTATTATTGCTTTGAATCCCGATATTTTGTTTTTTTAATCACCCATGTGAATTTTTTTCATTCACACCATATCTCAAAATATTAATTGAGTATATATATTTTATTCATTTTAGAAAGAAAAAAAATAAAGTGATGAAATAAAAAAAATCAAATATTATAAAAAATTAAAACACTTAATAAAAGACAGAGAAAATAAAAAATTAAGCTTTTCTAAATTAATTGGGTTTGGTGTTTTTATTTTAAATGACATAAGATATCATTTTAAGGGAGAGATAGACACAAAAAAAATGGAAATTATGGGAGAGAGAAAGTGGGTGATTTTTTTTAATTTAAAATTTAAATAAAAAAATTATGTTGTGTCTATCTCTTTTTTAAAATGACATAACTTTATTTCATTTAAAAAGACAAATACTTTTCCCAAATTAAAATATATAAAAAAGAAAAAATCACAGTTATAAATTTCCTATTTATTTGCTTTTTTTATGGTTATTTATTCTTTTTATTTAGATATGTTTGATTTTTTAAAATCTCTATTTTATTCTCTCTCTTTTTCATTTTTTTTTTTTTTACGAAAATTTTTAATAAAGGGAGTGGCACAAGATTAAAAAAATAATCCAGAAGAAAATCATAATAAAATAGATAAAGAAAAAAAGAAAAAAAGTCCAAACATATCTAAATAAAAAAGAAAAATAAAACTAAATATATTGAAAACTTATAATTGTAATTTCTTTTTATTCTATTTCTTTTTTTATATTTATCTTAATTTTTTCTTCTAATTTTTTCTTCAGTATGTTCTTTTTTTCATTTGGACTATTTTCATTTTTTTTAATTTTAGTTTTTTTAATGGTAAACTTAATTTCAGTCTTTTGTGTCATTGTTTTGATCAAAACTATATTATATTTCAAAGTCATTCTATGGAAAGTTTTATCACATGTAATTCATACAATGATTTAGATTTTTTTTTAAAGTGTAAACTTTCCATCTTAAGCACATTTTTTAGAAGATTTATATTATATGTGCCATGATGGTACAACCTAATTAATTTAAATATTAAATTAATAAAATTAATTTGAATTCTAATTTTAAATTTACAAATTAAATTTAAATTTAGTCATGAAATTAGATTTGATGACAATGGAGAAAATTAAGAAAATCAATTAATTATATTGATTGACTCAAATTAAGGAGGGAACCAATTAATTGGAATGATTGGATAAAAAAGATTTATAACCTCCCCTATAATTCACTAGTATAAAGGATATTACATTAATTTTTATTTTAAATAAGAAAATGAAAATTATAATGAGAAGTAGCGGATAAAACTAAGGCAAGTGATAAAATACACTTAAAATTTAATTACACATTAAACTGAGTCAAATACATTGATTTCTTGTCTCTAAACTATCTTGTATCAAGAATGAACTTTAACTAAGTTTGTATACACAATTTTCATGAACTTCGTATGGTTCTCATAATCTTTAATTATGATATTTCATCATACTCCAATGATACACATACTAGGATATTTACTCTTTGTAAATGTTATCATAAAAACAAACACACGTGAGATAAATCTCAGTAATATTGGAATTTTCAAACTATAATCAATCCAGTCACTTTAGTGGAGAATATCATTCTCCCAAATATGTTTATAATGAGAAAATAATATCATGAATAATAAATATAAACTCAGACCTTTGTGGATTCTTCATTTAGAATACACAAACCTTTGTGGGTTCTATACAAACATACCTAAACCTTTGTGGGTTTCTGCATACAAACATATAAAATAATGAGTAGTCTTTCACTGAAATGACTAATGCTCAAATTCTGTGAGTGCCTAAATTTTGTGGATTCTATATGGTGGAGCTCAAGCTATGATAAAGCGTTCGACCCAAACCAATTGAATTTGGTTCAGAATTGGTTCGAAACCGGTTCAGAACTGGCTCGACCCAAACCAGTGAATTTAATTCTAGGAAAGCCCTCTTCTCAAAACAAAGCGTTCAAACAATGAAGAAAAACTAAAAAAAAAGTGTGTGTCTTCCCCTTCTGAAACTTGGCGTCAACTAGAGATTAAGATCGGTCGTCATCTGAAATTTAGTGAATTCATTCGATCGCTTGCGTTTTTCGTTGAAAGCAGAATTATTAGTCTGCGACCTCGAGAGTCGCAAAATTGGGTTCAGATCTCAGACCCTCCACATGTCGGTGCAAGTGACTTTCCATTCGGATGCATCATCGGCGATGGGAGTGGGAGTGTCTAGGCCATGAAGCTCTGACATGGGCCTCAAGGTGCCGTTACGGAGCATCTAAATCGCTGCCTGGCACAAGTGGCAGTTTTCGGTCAACAGAAGCCCCATGGTGTCGTTCACAGGGTTCATTGTTCGTCCACAAGCTTCAAACAACAGAGATTGAAACAGAGCTGCATAGGAAAAACATTTCTTGAAAAGATTTCATGGAAGAAAAAAGAGAGAGTGAAAAACTGATTTACTGAGATATTGTGATATAATGCGTAATTGGTTCGGTTCGAACCGGTTGCAAACCAGTTTTAAATTGGATCATAACTGAATTGTTTTAAAAAGTTAAAATCGGTTCAAGTTCAAGAACTGCTTTAAAAAACCAGTTTTTTTGGTTCAGTTCAGTGTGGTTCTTAAAACAAATCAGTTTTTTTGGATATTTTGAACATCCCTAGTTCTATATACAAACATACCTAAACCTTTGTGGGATGTGTAGTCTTTTACTGAAATGACTAATGCTCAAATTTTGTAAGCGCCTAAATTCTGTGGATTCTATATGACAAAGCCCAAGCCATAATAAGGTGTCCCCTACCCTACAACCTTTATGATCCACTTGTGGGTCAGTCACATCAAAGGCATTTGGTAAAAGATTACACATTCCGTAATATTTATTTTATACCAAAGGAGTTTCTTAGTTCTATAGTCTTGATTCAAAATCATTCTCATAACTAATATATATAAATTAATCAAATTCATAAACTCCAAGATAAAACATAAATCAAAAGGGTAGAAAAGATTCATAAGAAAATATTTGGACAGAGTAATGGCATCTTCACAGCTTTGAAAGAAATAACTTTAAAATATAAACTTTAAATATAAACATATATGAAAAAATAAAATTAGGAGAATGAGTTTTACTCCCAATATTACAGTCCTCTTTGTTTTTCTCAATTTCTTCTTTCTTTCTGTCACTCATTCTCCTTCCTATTTTTCACTATTTATCTTGTTTCTTCCTTTCTCCTCTACTTTCTTTTCTTTGCTTGCTTTTTTTTCTCTCCTTCGTTTTCCTTTCTTTGTTTTCTTTTCTTCTTTTTGTGCTCTCTCTCTCTCTCGTTTCTCATACTGTTTTTCATTTCTTTCTTCGAAACAAGTGGATATATATATATAGACATGTTGATTACTTTTCCTCCTAGTATAAAAAATCTAACTATGTATTAAAATCTAACTAAGTGTAATCATTACCAGAAAGAAAAATCTAAATATCATGAGTATCTTCTTGCCCACGCGTGCTTGCCATGTGATTTATGTGTATATATATATATTATTTATTTTTTAATTTTGATTTATTATTATTTATTTTTTAATATTTATTTATTTATTATTATTATTACTATATTTTTTAATATTTATTTTTTTATTTTTATTTTATTATTATCATTTATTTATTTTTAATTATAATGTTGTTTTCCAAATCAACGTCAATTTTATACCGATTTTTAGTTTTATAGCGCACCTTACGTCATTTCGGCGCATCTTGCGCCATTATAACACAACATTTGGCGCTTCTTGCGTTGTTTCAACATTTTCTTGCGCTTTTTGCGCCAGTGAACAATATCATGAACAATAGCCTCTCTTTTTTCGTATTACAAAATACCCAATATGATTGGGAAGTGATGGGGTGCTAATTAGCATTCCTAGAAAGAGCTGCGGTATCTTTAAATTAAAATCAGATTTTACCAATTAAATATTTTATGCGTTATTTGTATAACGTTTCATAATTTTATACAATTTTAATGTCTTACCAGGATTATGAGAGTCAAACATGTGCTAGTGCCAATGTTTCCTTTACTTTGTTGTCACGTTGATTATAAAATCTGATGCCGTCAAGGAAGAAGATTTTAATTGTTCGGTTAACTGTCCTAACAAAAAGTTTAAGATAAAGAAAAAATTAAGTACTTACCCATTATTTGTATGTTTATAATTTTCTACAATATATTATTTCTATATTGTATATCATTAGTACAGTATAGTTACTCCAACAATTTTTTTTAATTAGTTCTATTGCTGAAGTTAGAGACACCTTGCTGAAGAAAGGGAAGTTGTGCATGAAAAAGCTGCTGGGAAAGAAGTTGTGTAGTATCAATATTGTTCTCGGTGTTGTTGAACTATATATTTGAGAATTATTAGACAGTTAGGAAATATACAATATCTTAATATTTATTTGATGTTTGATTCAACAATTATGGATGATTGTCCAATGTCGGCAAATATACCGATCGTTTCAAGCAATAAAGTAGTGAGGAAGATTATCGTCCCACGAGGATTGAAGCACTAAGTACTATTCACACTTGTCACTTTAATTTGGACAATTAGATTTGGTTGTTGATAATAATTGTTGAATTAAAATAAAATGAAAAGTAATTGTAAAGAAAAACAATCAAAAACATGTAAGAACAATTTAGGAATTATAATAAAGAACTGTAGTCAGGGCACATTTCACCTTGGATCCCCCTTTATTAATCTAAATTCATTCTTATAATCAATTATTTTAATTGTTTAGACAATTCATCTTCTTCTAAAGTAATTGATTAAACCCTAATGTCTTAGTGTATTTAACCATTTAATTCAATTAGAATTCTAATGTCTTAATAATTCTTCTTGAATTAAGCATTAAAT